TATATTGAAGAATGGCAAGCAACGATCTTTGCCCTTGATATAAAGCGACTGAGAGCCGTTGTCCTCCTATTCAAGCTTTGAACTTGCTTTCGATTGGCGGGACTTTTCATATCTAGGAGAGCTTGGATCTTTTCAGAATGGATTTCAATTCCCCAGTGGTTAACCATATACCCTAGGAATTTCTCTGAGGATACTCCGAATGAACTTTAAGAGGATTAAGCTTCATTCTATATCTTCGGAGTACGTCGAACATCTTTGCGAGATTGGTTATGTGATCTGAAGCGACACGCGACTTGACAAGCATGTCATCAACATAGACTTCCATTGTTTTTCCGATCTACTCGAAAAACATGCGGTTAACCAAACGCTAATAGGTTGCCCCAACATTTTTCATACCGAAGGGCATGACCTTATAACAGTACAATCCTTAATCTGTAATGAACGAGGTATGCTCTTCGTCGGACATGTACATTAGGATCTGATTATACCCCGAATAGGCATCCATGAAACTTAATAGCTTATGCCCAGAGGTGGCGTTGATGAGCTGATCGATTCTAGGCAGGGGGAAACTATCCTTCGAACAGGCTTTGTTGAGATCAAAGAAATCAACGCAAGTTCACCACTTGCCATTGGGTTTCTTCACCAAAACAGATTGACGATCCAACTCGGGTAATGAGCCTCCCGAATGAACCCGTTTGAGAGGAGCATATCCACCTCAACTTTCAGAGTAGCATAATGCTCTGGGTCCATGGCTTTTCTCTTCTGGCGAACTGACTTGATTGCACTGTCGATGTTGAGTGCATGACACATCACATTCGGGTTGATCCCGACCATGTTAGCATGAGTCCATGCAAAACCATTAATATTCTGTCTGAGGAAGCTCGTTAGGTTGGCAGCGAGCTAGGGGCTAAGATTGCTTTCGATCCTTAACACCCTAGTCGGTTCATTTTGGTCGACCAATATCTCAAATTGAGTCTCAGCAGATGCATTGTGGGAATACTCTTCCTAAACACGAGGATTTATGTTGTCTTCCACTGAACATGGTTGTGGTTCAATCCTACTGATCACCATAGCCTGCTCGGGAATGCCTACTGGCCTTCCTTTCCCTTTGCACGCCATCTGTACTGTCCTTACATAGTAGTTGCAAGATTCACTTTAGGATCATTTGACTTTTTCACACCCCGTCGGAGTGGAAAACTTCATCTTCAGATGATAGATAGAGGTGACAGCCTTGAAGTTTCGTAGTAGAAGTCGTCCCAAAATGCCATTGAATGCGGACTGATAGTCTACTACAAAAAAAACTTCGTCATTCTGGTCACCTCATGGGTATCACCCAAAGTGACAGGAAGTGCAATCATTCCCTTGGGAATCAGATGGTCGCCAGTAAAACCATAGAGAATGATAGAGGCAGGCTTCAAATTTGCCTCGTCCAGTAGCATTTCCTCGAAAACTCTCTGAAAGAGGATATTCACAATGCTACCATTGTCCACCAGCATCCTGTGGACTTCGTACCAATCTATTTCAAGCGCGATAATGAGTGCATCCTCATAGGGGTGATGCAATCGCACCACGTCTTTCTCTAAAAAGGTAATCTCTTCTTCTCTGCCCTTCCCGAGCGTACCTTTCCTAAGCACCTCGAGAATTCCCTATGAGGTGTGGTCCTCCAAATATGATCCCAACAAGATGGAAACCTTTGAGACCACAACACTTCTTTCCCTCGTCCCCTTGATCCTTTTCCCGAATAGGAGTTAAACCATCAACATACTCCTTAAAGTGTCCCTTTTTAATGAGGTATTCAATTGTCTGCTTGAGAGCCCGACACTCATCAGTATGATGCCCATTATCTAGATGATAATGGTAATATTTCTTGCTATTTCTTGCCGTAGGGGGATTATTCATGGGCTTTGGCTCTCCGAGCAGACTAGCTTTTTCTGACTTGTCCAGAATAGCTGATATCGATGCATTCAATGGAGTATACTGATTCTTGTCGTAATCATGACAGAGAACCTAGGCATAAGATTTCTTGGGCTTAAATCACTGATTCTTTCCTTTTCGCTGATCGCCATTGGCCCATCTACGATCAGCTCTCCTACTATTCTCCCCCTGACCTTCTTCCCCCTAACTAGAGGCACTGGTCGAAAGATCGAGGTCATGGCGATTTAGAGCAGCCACATAATTCTCGATTCGGAGGTACTTCTCAGTAAGATTATAAAAGCAGGTGAGGGAAATGTTGTCCTTATATTGTAGCTTTTTCCACAGGTCGGTTTGCGAATGAACCCTTGCAATAATGAGAGTCCGAACTGACTCTTTGGGTGTATTAGCCATCTTGTGCAGCTCTCTGTAGAACCTATCAATACAAGACTGGAGGGACTCATTTCTTTCCTGCCGTATGTTACTCAGATAGCTCAACGACATTGAGAACTTCCTATTAGCTTGGAAGTGTCTCAAGAATAACGAACTCATCTGCTGCCACAAGTTCATAGATCCTGGCGGGAACGATCTAAACCAGTGCTTGACATGGGTAGTCAGAGTCATTGCCAAACAACGACATTTGGCTAAGCTGGAAACTTGGTAAAGCTCTATGAGGTAGTTAAACTCATAGAGGTGATCCTGGGAATCAAAATTCTCATTGAATGCTCGCATATCAGACATTCTACACCTTGACGGGAGAGGAGTAGCTAACACTGCTGGAGAAAAGGGGGACGCTTCAACGGTTTGCCCACGCTCATTCTGCTGAGCTCTAAGCTGATCCAGAGTTGTTGTAACTCCTCAATCTGAGGAAGCAAAGCTATCTGGGGATCGCTTTTCGCAATGTAGGTTCGACCCTCACGATTGCGGTTGAGAAAATACCGTAGGTCAGACTCTTCCTCAATTCAGACAAAGCCTTCGGCATGCCTCGACACATGTTGGCTGGAGCCATGTGTAGGCATTAAAGGACCATGAGAGTTATCCCGACCCGTTTTGCTGCCCGGGTCATGGGTCAACTGGTCCAACCAGTTGGATCGGCCGGTTGGACCGATGATGTCAACGACAATTTTATTTTTAAAAAATTACATATTAATCCCTTAAATTTTAGTATATTACAAAAATTTCCCTTAAAAAGTTCAAATTAGTCCCTTAAATTTTTATTTATTTCAAAAATGCCCCAATAAAATTATCAATTAATCCCTAAACTTTTGACATATCTCCCAAACACCCCTATAAAATTACAAACTAACCCTTATAATTTTGAAATATTACAAAAACCCCCCTAAGACCTGAACCTGACCGGAGAAGCTTTCGGGTCCCGGTCCAATCAGTTCGACCGGTCGAACCGGTCTGATTTTTAAAACAGAGCTCGTGTATGGTGGGCATTTTCCCCGTGGTGATGGTCGGGACCAGCACGCCGGCAATGAAAGGAATCTCCCAACCTTGCACTCTTTCGAGGGTGCCAATGTGATGTGGCATGAGACGGCTCATGATGTGACATATCGCCAAGTCGTAAAGCCACAGGTATTCTACTTGCTTCACGATCAGCATTCATTGGTCCCTTTGAGCCCTTTGGCCCATTATCCACCACCTGCTTTCCCTTGTCTTTGTGCGCTGTAGTGCACGCAGCATGGGCTTTTGCCCGTTTCCATGCTTTAGCACGACCTACAGGCATATTTGGCGGTGGCACCGCCTTATCAGAATTGGGCAGTATGACCTGATTCAAATGGTCTAGCTTTCGACTAATCGTTTCGAGAGTATTGTTGAACCTCTCCAGGTAACTCCTCACAGCTGGATCGAGCTGTGAGCTTGAGGGAAAATCCGTCGTGGTATTCTGCGGAATGGGAGGTACTTTAGAAGAAGTATCGTCCTGTACCTGGGGGATCTCCTTGGGGTTGGGGCTAGTTTGCTCGATTTTGAAACCATGAGCCATTTGTCAGCAAACAGAGTTGGTTGATTAGAGATTCTTGATGAAGAGCGGATGCTAAATCACGTCCTCTTTTTAGCGTCAAACTGTTGATGCTTGATTTTGATACTAATGATTCACACGTGCAAAGTGCTAAGTTGGCTTAGAAATTACACATGAATGAAAAATGCAATGATGTAAATGAAAGATGATTTTTAAAGTGGTTCAGATGCTTAAAGCGAATCCTATGTCCACTGTTCTTTTTATATATATGAGGATACAGGAGGTCGTGTATAGTGTATAGCGAGCAGAGGCACAAGTGACTGATTACTCAGAGAGAATATCAAGTCAGTCTCTTTCTCGTAGGTTATTTGTGTTTTGAGAGTAAAATGTTACAATCAGAATGTGGGTTTCTTATCAAAATCCCGAAAATGAGAGGGGGAGCCCTCTATTTATAGTAGAAGGTTTCAAGGTAATGATTACAAGTTTGCAAGTAGGCAGGTGTAGTACAATTCCTACCGTGCTTCCCATTGGCTGATTACATAGCCGATATCCTCAAATCGCATAGGGCTTGGACAGGTGGATGACTCTCATCCACTCGTAGATAAAGCTTGAGTCAGCCAAGTTGATGACAACTATACTCTTTTTGTCTTCTGACGACGTGGCAGCAACTGGACAGCACAAAGTCTTCTTAAACTCTGATTGGTACTAGTTGACGTAAGCTCGCGTTAGCCCTGATTCTTTAGGCATAACAATATTTAAAGTTAATCACATAATTTATAGTCATCAATTTCATAGGATGACTCATAAAAGATCTACAATCAATACTTAATATCTTATACATGAATTTTTTATTTAAATTACCATGTTATAAACTTTAATTAAACTTCGCAAAATGTTAAAAAAAGATGGAGCGTGATCACAGTTTCCAGGTAGCGCGTGGAAAAGGAAAGGGATTGATATTGTGTCTGAAGAACAAACGACCAACTCCTTAACATCCGAGTTTCCCTTCCCAGATTGACTTGGTGCCATTAATCATTATTATATTAATTTTTTATTATATTTTATTTATTTATATTATTTAACTTATCCAAAAAAAGAGAATTCAACTTCATCTTCATTTGATCACTCCTTCGAATTTTTGTTTAGTTTCCTTCCACAAAAATTATTCCCAAAACATTTACAAACATTCCCTTTGTTGACTCAACTATTCCTTTGCAGCCGCTTGATTCATTGAAATTTGTTTTTGTTTCTTGGAACTGTAAGAACCCTTTTGAAATCTTGTTTTTATAAAGCAATTTATGGGGTAATATCATTGATTGTTTTGCTTTTGGTGCAATATATATTTAATTGATGCAGTTATTTATGTATTTTCCTTTTATTGTTCCTTCAATATAATGTTGTTTAATTTGATGTATTAATTTAATTTTTGTTTCATTTGTTTTCTTGTTAGATATTTATATTGGCTGATATAAAGGAGGAGGTAACAAAATGGCTGTTCTGAGATTGTAGCAGTGATTGATTGATGATTTAGATCTTATATTTGGAGGCTGGAGATGTCAATTCAGCACGAAAATTCTAATGTTGAGATTGTTACAGGTACTTTTTTTTGGGGGCGTCAAATGAAATTGTCTTTGAGCAATGTTATTTGTGAGAATATATATGTTTATTTGCTCTTTGTTTCTCTGCCCTTCAATACTTTGTAACTAATTGAACAAAAATTATGAGTGGAATGACCAAACATGATTTCTGTTGCCTGCCCAAGTGGGTATGGTGAAAAGGTTCGATTATTTCTGTGATTTTGTATAAATAATTGGAAGAAAACAGGTCGTATGAATTTATGATAGCTATACTGGAAATAAGGAATATGCTTGCTTCAGGATTAAGAATTTATTCTAAACGTGTCGGTTTTGGGAATGGTGGTGGCATTGTTACGGATACAGCCACTAGTTGTTCTAATGGTGTGAGAAACAAAGTTGACGAGCCTAAATAAATACAGGTTTGTAGCAGCGTATGGTGTAAAGATGAGAAGTTAATGCAAGTGCTAGAACTTGAACTGGTTTTTGAGTTTGGTTAAGTTTTTTTGAAAGGACATGGTTCTCTGCATTAATCAAGTTTCAATCAATGGATTTTGTTTTTTGGATGGGTTTTTTATTTGCTTACCTCTCCTTTCTTTTGTCATTATATAGAACCAAATCTCTGTTCTCCGGTCCACAATGGCTGTTGAATGTAATTGTTAAGACTTGAGTCCCAAAATCAACCTCCATTCTCAATTCTAATTTTCCGGGATATGCCCTTTGGATATTGATGGAAAGATGCATTGGCCATTACTTGAAACCATGCACCTATATGATTTCACAGTCTCTTCAGTGTCAAATTGTTGTGATCATTGCCATTGGATATGTTCTTGCAGTTTCGATGTTTCACATTTGTTAGTTGACATATAATCACGTTATTAAGTCGAAGAAGACAATCCATTGTAGTTACCTTTCAATGTTCAATAAGACAGTCAGTCATAGATCACTTTTTTTTTTTCCTTTTTTTTTTTTGATACCGAGAGTGTTCGGGCCAGTTTGTGCACAACTCAGCTAATCCTCCGAGGCCCTGAAGTTAACGATCAGGTAAGCCTCCAGTGGCCACCCCTATTAGCAGTTAAGGTGGATTGAACTCAAGATCTCTTGAGTAATATACCCAAGAGTCTTAGTTAATTGCTCGACCACCCGGTGGTGGTTAAAGTCATAGGTCCCTTTTGTTAGGTATACTTAATGATTTGATTGTAATTTGTTTGTTATGACAATTACAAGTTACAGTTGTTTTGTGATTATATAAATTATATGTGTGGAATTCGTATGACCAGGTTCTCGCCTGTGTGATCTCTTAAGTTCAGGAACACAAAGATGGAGAGGGCAAAAAGATCAACCAATAGATTCCGGTACCTTGAACTTTAATCTTAGGTTCTTTTTTCTTGTCTGGATCCATGTAGAGTAGTTGGCATTAAATCATATATGAATGAAATAGTTATTGCAAAACTGCAGATTAAATATATGAAACATGAAACCTATACAATCAGATATGAACATTCTGTATGATCTATTTATAGTGAACATAAAATTATAGAAGTTGCTAACATTACTTAGAAAATTAAAGAGTAAGTTCATTACCATGATAACATAAATCCATTTATTGACTGGATCTATATCCTGGAATTTGTTTTTAAAAATCCTGTATGATCAATAGCCTGGAACTTGTTTACATATACACAGGACCAAAGTGCCTACTGAGCTGAAGTGGTTAAATGTTAAAACCGTGTAAAAATATGTGCTTCAAGAGACCTCTAATGGAACCTGGCCAGGCTATGGATGGACAGGCCACCTGCTCAAACTAAATTTTGGGCTAAGAGTTGCCTTGAACTTCAGTTTACACAAGCCATTCAAGGCACACTGATCCAATTATTAGGCCAAAGAGGCCTTTTGGCCATTTCAGTTTGTATGCACCTCTATGTTTAATCTGGTACCTAAATTCTGGGACACATAAGGGCATATGCTTATTTGTATGGTAACCAAGGATGGACGACAAATAATCCTTTATAAAACCCAAGAGTAAAAATATATATCTTTTAATCTTCTACTGAAATTGCTCTATCTTAGATTGTAATTGGGGTGATAGAAGATGGTTCCACCATCCAAAACTATAGGCATGAAATCATATAACTTCCACAAAATCACGGAACAAGACTGAAAGCAGCCCAACGTGCAGGGTCTGTTCAGTATTATGGGAGTATGATAGCTTGTTATTTGGTTTTTATTGAGTTGAATTGTGTTTAGTTAGTTTGTGTCTCTTGTTGGAGCCATGAGATTTTAATTAAAGGGCTTTTGCCTCCACCGTTGGTAGTTCTTGTCATTAGCTTTTCTCTTGAGGTCTCTCCACTATTTGTTGATGCGATTGTATGATAGTTTTGCCTTCACTTAATTTGGTAGTGAATTATATCGTTAAAGTTATTTACTAATCGGAGGTTTAGATTCTTAATTCTCTCTATATCCAGAAACTTTTTCTTTTCATTCAACATTCTTACAAGATCTTAGACTAAATTATTTAGAGTCAAATAAATTACCAAAGACTCTAAACACTATTATTTTCCTGACTAATATTCCTTTAAAGAAGCTCTGAATTAGGTAATATTTGAAAAATCATAATGCAGGCCCTGCAGTAAGATCCTGTCAGAAGAAACTTGCAAATAATACATGCCATTATCGTTTGTATTTGCTCTTTAATTGAACATAGCTGCAAGACTGTTTATGTTCAATAAGCCTTTGATCCTCATGACCAACCATAAATGCTTTCTTTATTGCTTGTACTTTCTATACGGTACTGAAAATTTGTTGACATACACAATCATATGCTTGCCACCATTGAAGGAACGTGTGCTTATTTTGTTCTTCCGAAGAAAATCATCCTCTCTTTGGCCCTTCATTAAACTGTCCTGAGATAGAATTTTAATTAACCTTGTTGATCTATTTTAGTGCTTATTTCGCATTAACCAGGTGCACAAGGAAAGCTGGAGAATCTTTTGAGTCAATCCAGTAATAAGTTTTGTGCAGATTGTGGATCTCCAGATCCAAAATGGGTGTAAGTATCATGTCAGAATTAGACAAAATATTTTATCATTATCTTCTGTATTTCATTAATGTTTGAAGGTACACTTAGGTGTTACCATATCTTTACTATCAGTATTTTTTATTTATTTATTTATTTTTTCTATTTAACTTTTCCTGTGGTGTTGGTTGTTGGTGTTTGGATTTGATGTCTATGAAGTGTTCCCATGGATTATAGTAAGTGAATGGGTAAAATAAATTTAATTACACTATCACCAATCAATTCTACATATAGGTATACCACGATAAGCAATAATAATGATAACTTCTGGCATATTAGATATTTTTAAAATTAGATGCATTTTTTGGACCTTTACCTACAAGCTTTTTGTCATGTGGCTTTCTAGTATAATATCAATGCCAGGTTGACCAAATGATTTGTGTTCGAATTACCCCATTGCATTAATTAAATTATAATAAGTTGTGGTTATAGTCATGATTGTGTTTGGTCCATGCACAAGTGCACGTTAGAGGGCTTGGTACAAGTTAAATACTATTGTTAGGCTTTTACTTAACAGTTTAAACTTCTTTTAATTAAGTGGCTTTTCGAACAAATATGAATCTTGACATCATGGAAAATCTAGAAACTGTTTCGTCAATATGAATATGAAACGGATTGAATTATGCAGCAGCTGGATTATAGGTAAAGGAAATGTGAATAGGTATCTACTAATGTTTTTATAGTCTTATCTAAGCATTCTTGTATCTCCTCTTGTTTTTCCTATAGAGGCATTCATCTTATCTTGATATATTGGCAATCACGTTTTGTGCATTAACTTATGTTTTACTTATTCACAAACTATGATATTCAAACCCTCCTTTTTCTTCAGATGTTATAGATGTACCATCTCTAATTTTGACTTAGTTCGAGTCTGCAACTCTTAGATTATTCTTCTTCAATTGAATTTTTTATCTCACTTGGACACATTTTCAGCATATAATATAATGTACTATTCTTTCATGGCACTTGTTCTCCCTGTATTTTGTTCTTAATATCTTTCCCAATTTCTATGACAGTATCTCATATTATTGTGTTTTTTTTGCCCCAGAAAGTCCCTCACTTCTTTTGTTGCTTTTGCTTCATTGTATCATTTCATGCAATTCAGATCTTTGAGTATTGGAGTATTTATTTGTATCAAGTGTTCTGGCGTTCATAGAAGCCTTGGAGTGCACATATCAAAGGTATGGATTCCAATTTGTGGCCTCTGATCAGATCTTGTAGAATAGAGTTGCCACTAGTCAGCACGACTTTTCATCAGCCTATATGTGCATATGTCTTATATTTTATCAACTTACTACCTTAAGTGAACTTGAAAGAAAGACACAGCTGATATGTATGTTGTGCAGAGACTTACAAAAATGAATTTGCTATCTAATATTAACTACTTGAGGTCAAATTATGGTCTTATCTTCGTGGTCTGAAGTTTATAACGACATGTGGTTGAGAAGCTCAACTCTTTATAAATAAAATTTCATTATATTGTACACGACCAGGTGGAATCTGGATAAGAACCTGTTATGAACCTTGTCCAGCAGCTCACTGGTCAAATAAACTATTTCATTAATCAATAATAGAAGTTGTTAAAGTAGTTTTTATCCCATCAAATTTTTTCCCTAGATTGAGCTGGCTGATTTATTCTTCCCTAACATGGACTCTGTCTAATCGCTACCACAAGCCAGTTGTGTGCCAAGGTGGATTACAGTTTCTGGAGCTCATTATATATAGAACTTGAGATACGATAGCTCATTCTTGAAACTAATATAAGGGAATGAGGGTCTGTGGAGACGTGAAAAGTCTGGACATTCTTGTCTGTGTTTTATATTACAGTGTAAATAGTTTTAATAGATATCATCTATTGAAGCTTGACACATAGTGTGTCAAATCACTTGAGTCATTTATGTTGATATTTCATAGGATCCTGGTTTGAGGTTTCATTAAAAGTTCTTTCCTTCTGTCTGATCAATCGTGGAAGGCTGTTGTTGCTTCTCTCTCTCTCTTTTTCTATCATAGTTATTTTGCACTTAGATATCTCATTGATTTGAGATTATCTCAGGTCATATCAGTAAACCTAGATGAATGGACAGATGAACAAGTTGACGCTTTGGCAGAAATCGGTGGCAATGCTGTAGTGAACGAGAAATATGAGGCTTATATTCCTTATAATTTAAAAAAACCAAAGCCAGATTCATCAATAGAGGAGCGGTCTGATTTCATCAGGTATAGAAGTACAAATTTTTTCATTCCTTTCGTATGAGAAACCAAACCATTCTAATTCGCTATTGTATATCTTGAACACTCAGGAGAAAGTATGAGAAGCTACAATTTTCAAACTGTGATGATCACACACTACACTGCCCATTCCCATCTCCTCATAGACGTTCATCATCCTCCCCAGCTAGTTCTTCGGCCTGTTGCACTTTGAATGACAAGAAACAGTATGAAAAACAACCAACCAGACATCGTATTGGAAATGCATTTCGTAACAGCTGGGGAAGGAAAGAGACTAACAGTAAGCCGACAAAGAAGAACAACTCATTGGTAATGATTTTCTTTTTGAGTAATGCTATGTTTGTAAAGTCGTCATCAATTGTGGGATGTCAAGTCTCTCTTAGGAGTGAACTACTCAAAAGAAAATTCTGTAACAATTTTCTTTTAACAACTTTTTTCTAGAAAAAGTAGTTGTATACAGTATCAAGTCTTCTAACAAATGCATCTTTAATTCTTATGTGCGTTGTGTAACGAATCCCACATTGAAAACGTATTGGGGAGGTCTTGGGCTTATAAATGGGGGGAATCTTTCTACCTAATACGTTAACCTTTTGGGTGTAAAACTCCTAGCCCGTGACAAGTGGTATCAGAACAGATCCGATCCGTTTTTCGATGTCTCACCAAGCGCCCATGTAGGGGCGTCCACGTGTGATTGTAGGTCCACACAAGATTGAGGTGGACGGGTAGGCAAAGGGCTCCACCTGTGACGAGAGCGTCACAGGATTGGGTGAGGGAGAATGTAACGAATCCCACATCAAAAGTGTATTGGGGAGGTCTTGAACTTATAAATGGAGGGAGTCTCTCCACCTAATAGGTTAGCCTTTTGAGTGTGAAACTCTCAGCCCATGACAGTTCACTTTGATAAAAATAACATATCTAAAATTTAATGGAGTTGGAAAAGGAAATATTGTTTTTGGTGGACAAGCGAAGAGAGGAATCACTAAATAGCAGGATATTGTTTTAGATGATTTAAACTTGATCATGCTTCCAGTCAATCCATGTATAACTTTGTAAAAAAATTCTTAACTTGATATGTTAACTATCTGGGTTACCAATTTAGTTGGAAAAGAGAATGTATCACAGAAGTGAAGCAGAAAGTACTATATTTCTACATTTTATATTACTCACAATGTCTTAACTGCTTTTATATGGCTACTCAATCACAGTGATTTCAATTGCTGTTTACAGGCAAGTATGGTCGAGTTTGTTGGATTAATTAAGGTCAATGTGGTTAAAGGCATTAACCTGGTTATTCGGGATGTTGTAACTAGTGACCCGTATGTCGTCCTAGTACTGGGTCAACAAGTGAGTCTTTTTTATCTTCATAAAATCCTTAATGATGTTGTTATGTTCAACTGAAGCAGTAAACTTATTTTATCCTTGATCTCTTGTCACAGACGGTGAGGACACGTGTCATAAAGAACAATCTGAATCCTATTTGGAATGAAAGACTAATGTTGTCGATTCCAGAAAACATTCCTCCTTTAAAAGTGGTAAATCTACTTTACTGATTATGTGATTGAAAGTCGGGTAACAGCAGAAAGGAAAACATTCATAGAACTATCTGCTCACTTAAGTCTAATGCTGTGAAATTCTTGTAGCGCACATTGCAATTTTGTGCTGATATTAGTCAACCTTTCTTATTATTCTGTGCCAAAAACATGCTCTGCTCTCGTGGTTAAGGAAGGAAGAATACATCCTGCATTTACAAATTTAAATGCTACACCATGATGATAAGATGCACTTAGAAATGTTGTGAACAAATAATTTAAACTCTTAAAAATATATTATTGAGTTGCTTGAACAGCTAAGAAAGTGATGAATCTATAGAAATGCATTATTTTTAACTCTGCTCGTTGGCCAAGCAGATTGAATAGGTAGAAAACTACATCAAGTTTGAGCATGTTAAACTACATGATGTTCGTAGAATTAAAATAAAATTACTGTTCTTCTCACCTTTTTTTTTCTTTTTTTGGCTTGATTATTTGGATCCTTATCAATTATTTGATGCAGCTATACTTCTTTCTAACCCAACAATGATGTTTATAAGCTTTGTTATTTATTCTTCAATTCAGTTTGTTTACGACAAGGATAAATTCTCATTCGATGACTTTATGGGGGAGGCCGAAGTTGACATTCAACCCTTACTGGCTGCTGCAAGAGCCTATGAGAGTTCGACAATGTATGAGTCAGTAGATTTCAAGAAGTGGGTATCATCCTTAGTGGAAGAAGGTGTCATAAGTCTTGTAGATGGGAAGTTGAAACAGGAAATTATTCTGAATCTGCAGAAAGTTGAAAGAGGTGCAATAGAAATTGAGCTTGAGTGTGTTCCTCTTACTCAATAACACAGAAACATATTTATTGCAATTATAGAACTTGTACACAAATTGTATTCTAGTAAACTTTTTTTTTTTCAACTTTTTCTTAGCCTTTCTATTCACTGATAGCTGATAACTGAAAATGAATTCATAATTATACAATATATTATTCCTAAATTTGCCCATTTATAAAGTATTTTTCATCCTTTTTACTCAGAAGCTTTCTATTTCATAACGTTAGAAACTGTTTTCATTTTCATCATACAACTAAAACCACTGGAAATACGACCAAAAAATTATTTTCAGTAACTAGCCAATTCATCTTTATCAATTAGAGTGAACCATGGTTCTTGCCCTGCTCTGAAAGGAGTCCTACGGCTGAATAAGGTATTCTAGGCTTTATATTTTTTGCATTTACAGTATATGGGTACTGGCATTATAACCATTTTCGTCATAATAATTCTTTCCTTAAAAGACGAAATCATGCATCTGAAATTGAAGTTGCAAATCCAGAACTATTACAAAGCTTTCTTTGTAACAATAGTTTTATTTTTAAAAAAAAAAAAAACCAAGTAATGAAAAGGTTTTGAAAAGAGTGGACACATGTTTTTAATTTAATTACTTCATGTTCCATTCGTTTGATGAAGAGTAAACTTATTTGAATAATGGGGTAATTTTATTTGCTCTTTAAAAGAGATTGTTAAGAAGCAAGCACTATAGGAAGTTTTAAAAAGTAAAGGGATTTTTTTTACTTCTATTGGGGGATTTTTGATAATCTAAATGAGGGCTTTCAATAATTTGATGGGATAATAATATATGAGATTTACTGCTCCAGGTGGAATACTTGAAATCGTTAGAATTTGAAGTAATTCTTCATGTATTTTGTACGGTCTACACTAACCCACTACTTTGCATTTTTGTTTATTTGCTGTGTAGTTTTGTAACATCTTCACGAGGTTTGCTTAATGAAGGAATTGAGATTTGACTTGAGAAAATGGATGATGATCGGAGGGGAAGGAGCAGAGTTTATGTGGAGACTGGAAGGAGTTATTATTGTAATCGAAAGAGTCTTGTTGCCAAGAGTAGGGGTAGTTCTTGGAAGGAAAATGATTCTCTTCTTAGATTTACGTTTGAGACTTTCATTATCAGTTGAGGCAAGCGCTGGTATGCATTTGATTTTGAGAGATTTTTTCTAGATTGATTTGACTGTGTGAAAAAAAACAAACAAATCTCATTTTGCTTTGTTTGGTTTAAAAGAAATATGGACAAGTAAACAAAAAAGAAATTGAATACAGTAAATGTTCCTCAAATTCAAGACATTGCCCCCGGAATAGCTCTGCTGAAAATGACGAATTTAATCATAGCAAAGCATCCTAAACTAATCATTTACTACCATCCAATCCATCTTTACAATGGTATAAAACCAAACACAAGAAGGTTTTCACTATATGGCATTATACACAAAAGAGAAGCAATAAAAGTTTAAGATCAAAGCCTAAAGTTATATACAAATCATAATATGGTTGAGTAATTTGATATCAACAAACAAGAATCTGAACATTTGAATTAAAGTACCAATCCCTTCCGAAGGAATTCAGGATCCACAACCGGAACCTCGGGCACAAAAACAACCCCATTTAATTACAATACATCTTTTGCAATATTTGCTACCCCATTACAGTAACAAAGCACTAAAATATTTACATCCCATACAGGAGAAATACTCTCCCTACGTAATTTTAAGTACAGTAGACACATTATTTCATAGCACTGATCTGCGAGACAGTAAACATTACCTGAATGTTCCCGAGCTGGAGAACACAAAAGAAAACACACCTGATGAATCCAAAGAGCCATATTTGGATCCATACTTATATCAAGAGAGCTAAATGCAAACAGTAAAGCACGATGGCCATGGCGATCACAACTCACGAGCAGCAATCAGGGCACCTAATCAAGCCATTTTCATTACATTCCAAACACCGTTTAAGCACCTCTTCCTCTTCATCAAACAGTTTTCTACTCCCACTACAATTCCCACAAGGCACAAACCTCACATCACCACAACTCCCGCAAACAAGCCCCGGTTGCCGTCTCGGAAACCCTTCAAGAACCCTAGCCAATTCACCAGTTTCGTACATACTCTTCAAAATATCAGCTCCACCAATATACTTTCCCCTTATAAAAACCTGGGGCAAACCCACTTTCTTCCCCCCAAATACGCTCTGTAACTCCTTCTTATAGGCCGAATCCATCGAAATATCTCTCTCATCAACCCAAATTCTAAACCCTCTAAATATCATTCTAACCGCATAACAATCCTCATAAGTTCTTCTAATTCCTCTCAAACTCGTCAAATACACAACAATTCGATCTTGGGTACCCGGTAATCTAATCAAAGATTCATCATTATAACATAAAGATTTCATGGGTTTTAAAGATTTTACGTTTTGAGTCTCAGCTTCGATCAAATTTATAGGTTTTTCGGGTTTCTTAGACTCAAATAAACTGCAGAGTTGTTTGACCTTACCTTTGATAGAATTGCTAGCTGAGAAAACTGATCCCACAGAATTGTAAAACTTGTTGATGGAAACAGCTCGATTAAGAGAGGCATAATTGAGTTTAGGGTTAGAATCAACGGTGGGTTGCAAGGTAAAGGATCGATTAAAGAGTTTGCTTGAGATTTCGAGATTATTATCGGATTCCGCCATGGACCCAGATAAATAAACAATGGAATTGGACAAAGAATAAAGATTTTTTGTCCGGGAATATTTGGGAGAAAAATTTGTTCGGGGGAGAAAGGGGATTTGTGAAAAATGAAAGATTGTTTGGATGGTTTGTTTTGATTGTTTTTGGTTGCTTTATTTGGGGATTAGGATTGTTGGGATTAAGCTGTTTTTGTTGTGAGACATAAATGTGGACCAGCTGCTTAGCTACAAAGTTTAGAATTTTGTTGCCTTTTTCCCTTTTTCTTTTTTAATTACAAAACTTCCCTATGCTTTGTTCTAATTTTAAAACACCCTCAATAGTTTGACAATTTTTAAACCACCTTTTTTTTTTGGAAAAATTTATTGAAAAACAATAAGGTAAATGAAACCTGGACAGGGGTCTAAATACAGTAACTTCAACTGAACCTATAACGAGATAAATGTCAAATATCATGGTGAAATTCATTTGCAATAGAGTAAGGGGGTTTGTCCCACCATTGCAAACTTGAATAAAAAAGACAAAATTGATCAGATATAACATTAACTTCTCTAAAGATATGGGAGCACATATTTTTCATGAAAGAAAAGCAATTATAACAACTTTTGTGTAAGACCAAAAAGATCGAAAATATAATTAGATGAATTAATATAAAAAGTTAGAGTTAATAAATGTATATTAAATAATGATTAATGACAAAAGCAATAAAAGATTCTATAAACTCTTTGCATTCTTTATAAACATAATAATTGTATTTAGTATGTAATTAGTGAAGTCAAAAAAACCATACCATAAGAATTTGCCGTCAAAATACTTAGGAGTGAAATTTAAGAGAAGTTAATGATAATTAAATGAAACTGAAAGGGGAATGATGATAATTCGTATAATATTGGTGTGTTTAAATAAAATAGTAAAGGTGAGAGAAAGTCAACATAATAATTAGTTTTAATAAAAAGGAAAGGATAGTGGGTGATGGTGAGGTGACATCCTCCATGCCCATGGTCCACCGCCTTGTTTGAATGACGCGGTTTACCTTGCTCCAATTTTATTTTTCTAACTTTTTATTTGTCCACTTTTGCATCCTTATCACACTCTAACGTTTCACCTTTATGCTTAATTATAAGGGAGACGACTTATAACTACCTAATTTTTTTTGAAATGATAAGTTGATACCCAAAAGGTTTTGAAACGATAATGGATACCTTCCTCATGTTCGTTAGTGATTTTGGTTAGATAATAGTGAAAAGACTAAAACCCTGAAAGTTTAATTTTTAGTTTTTTAATAATTTAAAAACTTCTAAAAAACCCCTAGGTTTGCTAATTTGACTAACAGCACACAATATATATTTTGTAAAATAACAAAAACACCCCCGCCACCCCGCAGTCCAGATTCCGACCACCGCCGGAATCTGGCCGGAAAATTGTGTTATGACACAGACCCGTCGGATCTGTGTCGTAACACACCGATCTGGCCTTTTTCGGCCTCGACGGCCAGATCTGGCCTTTTCCGCCAGATCATCCACGGATCTGGCCGGAAAATCCAGATCGACGTGTTACGACACAGATCCGATGGGTCTGTGTCTAACACAATTTTCCGGCAAGTTTCCGGTCTCGACCGCCAGCTCTGGCCGTAGATCTGGTCTTTTCTGGCCAGATCAGCCACGGATCTTGCCGGAAAATGAAGTCTACGCGTTACGACACAGATCCGATGGGTCCTGTGTAGTAACACAATTTCCCGGCCAGATTCCGGCGGTGGTGGCCGGAATCTGGCACTGCGGGGGTGGCGGGGGTGTTTTTGTTATTTTATAAAATTTTTATATATTGGGCTGTTTAGTCAAATTAGCAAACCTAGGGGGTTTTTTAGAAGTTTTTAAATTTATAAAAAACTAAAAATTAAACTTTCAAGGGTATTTTAGTCTTTTCACTATTATCTAACCAAAATCACTAACAGAACATGATGGAAGGTATCCATTTATCGTTTCAAAACCTTTTGGGTATCAACTATCATTTCAACAAACCTTGGGTATGCATAAGTCGTTCGGCCTAATTATAATATCCTCTTTTATTTATTCATATTTGTTTATTTCGTTTTTCTTTTTGTGTAGTGTTAAACTTTTTTATTTCCTCCAGAAAGTATTAAAAACATCTTATCATAGATTTTTATAATTTTATAAGGTAGTGTTTAAAATTTTTTGTAATGAATTAATACGAACTGATCTAACGAAGAGAAAAATATAATATACCTTTATTAAAAACTATCAAAAAAACTGTTTTGATGTTAATCACCAGTGCGATTTAAATTAAGCAAATATTGCAATAAAAAATTAAACATATAGTTAATAAAATTTCAATGACAATATATATTTTGATTTAAATTCAAATTATGTTTTTAACTTATAATAAAACATCATGAATCATATAATTATATTAATTATTTACACTTTAAATTAATATTATATTAATCAGATTCAAATATTGAAATATATAGTTTCATTCATTGTAAAATTCTCTTTTCTCTTTACGTATTATAACCATTCATGAATTTTAAATTAAAATAAATGTATATGTTTTGGTAATTAATTGATTTTCTTTTATTACCCAATATTTTGTTGAAACTTGACAATTTTTATCTTGTTCATATCGTGTCATTGGTTGAATTTTCACAAATTGTGCCCTTAATTTCTAATATTTTTAAGATTTTAGAAATATATTTTAAAAATATAAAAGATATTGTTTGATTTTAAAATAAATTTTTTTAATTTTTTATTTTCCTTCTCCAGAACATAATCAATCTTACAAATAATAGAAAAATGTTAAAATAACACAGTTTCTTTTTGCGCTTAGAAAATTATTTTTATAATATATTATCACGTTTTTTTTTTTTTCTTTTATTAAAAAACATTATATTCAAAGTTTAAAGTTATTTTTTAAGTGATGTGAAAACTGATTTTTCATGTTATAATAAGGTGATTGTTATATTATGAGATTCTACGTTACACACTAACATAACAGAATTACAACTTAGGACATGTAATAACATATTGTAGGGGCAGGATTTATAAGGAAAGTTGGGTTCATTGTCAATTGGGCCAAAATTGGAATATTATTATTATTATTATTATTATCAGGGTGTCCGATTAGTTTGCGCACACCTCGACTAATCTCTGGACCCATTAAATACCCTACAAACCTAATGTTTCAAGCGTTACGAGCTCGTTTCACACTCAAAAGATTAACCTATTAGGTGGAGGGACTCCACCCATTTATAAGTTCAAGACCTCCCCAATAAGCTTTTGATGTGAGATTCGTTACACAATGTAAGTTACAAATATGGTAGATGGTCTCAAGGTTCGAATAAAAAAGTTAATGAAGAGAACAAATTTTCATACTTGCCAAATCAACCCGTTGGAGTTTAAAATTGGAATACTTACTGATTAAAAAAGCCAAGTCATTCAAATATAAAATATATTAATATTATTAAATAGAAATTATATAGGATATGATTTGTTAAATATTAATTAAATAGTTAAGTTTGGCTGACCTTGGATTATTGTTTAAAAAGTTGTTAGATATGTTATGTTGGTCAATAAGTTTGTGGTTATAAGTTGTAATTAATAGAAAAATATTATTGAAACCCACAAGAAAAGAGTGACGATATCTAATAAAAATATAATTCTAAATTGACATATCATTCCGTGTTATATACTTGTATCAACAATTTATGAGTAATACTACACCAACAATTTTTTTTTACAAACTTTCTCTTATAATCTTAACGTGGTAGCTCGCAATTAATTAGTAGGATCTATGTGGGATCTATGTACGATCCGTTATGAACTGATCAATTACGAACTGTCACGTCAAGATTGTAAGAGAAAGTTTGTGAGAGAGGGTTGTTGTTATAGTATTATTCATAATTTATTTATGTATCTTGTTATTATATATTATAAAGGTTCCTGATGAGTTGTAAATATAATGCTTCAAATGTCATATGATGATTAATAATAGTGATACCTTACGTTTATATATAAGAAGCTTCAAGAAATTTTCTCTAGAAGCTTTTTAACATAATAAAAGCTTTCTAATATACATAATTTATTTTTGGTATATTTTAACAATAAAAGAAATCTTATTTTGTGTGGCTTAATTACATCAAAAGGTAGTGGACGTTCACTTTTTTCTTATTAAAGATATCGAACTATTTCTTTTTCCTGTTAAAGGTATCAAACTATCAATTATTTTTATTAAATGTATCAAATTTGTACACCTTCAAATACTTTAGAGATGATCTCTAACACCCTTGAAAGTAAATGACGTAGATTTTTTTAATTTTAAAATGTGTATGTAGAAATTTATAAGGGTTGACATGTACATGTAGCGCAAACATGAACTTTTTAGGATTAATGTGTACATTTTCATATTTTAAATTCTTCAATTTACCCCTTCCTCCAATTTTAATTCGACAAAAAGCACAAAATGCACCCAAAATAACCAAAACCACCTGGAACGAAAATATTTAAATAACAAAATGCACAAAATGCACCCACTAATTTCATAAATGCAACAAAAGCCCCAACTCTGTTAGGCTATGAAAGGTAAAATACGTCTTTTCAGTTTTCTGTCTAATTTTTTTTTTATCATTTATCTTCTTTTTTTTATTCCTCTGCCCTCCCTTTCTTTCTTTTTTCTCATTTCCTTCCCCACTTATGCCCTTTCTGCAATCATCTTTTCATTTTCATTTTCATTTTCATTTTCTATACCAGTGAATCAAATCAAAACTCTAACACAAATCAAATCAGAACCTAATCAAAGTACAAATGAAACCCTACATCTAGCACACAATCACAAATCAAGCAAAAATCAAATTGGGTACCAAAAAATACTGAAAAAACAAACCCAAATCTTGAACCATTAAGAAATCCAAATCTTAAATCATGAGTGGTGGAAGAAGAAGAAGTAGGGGAGATGGAAAGAAATAGGGAAAACAAATACCGATAAAAAAAAAAAAAAAAAGAGACTGGGCAGAAGAAAATGAAGAAGAAGTAGTGGAAGTGGAAAGACAGAGAAGAAAATCTAAGGAAAGGCCTAAAAAAAAAGAAGCCTGGACAGAAGAAGAAAAGAGATAGTGAAAAGAAATAAAGAAAAAAAAAAAAGAAGAGATAATGGGTTTTAATTAGG